GAAACCTAGTAATTTCCATCGAAGTTTACAGAGGGACACTTTAACTGTGTAAACTCTACCTTGGTTAAGTTAAGGCTGACATATCCGTCGTTAAAGCGGAATTTTGCCCAATCTGTGACCTTTATTTTCCTATTAACAAGAATCAGATCCAAGATTTTGTCCGCAAAGTCAGGTATTAATGCCTTGACTGTGTATCGTCTGCCTGATCCTTAAATGGATCTATGTTAGTTGGTAGACCAGTTACGGTTATACCTAGAGTGAGTAAATCACTCATTCCGACTATAGTCGTACTTTTGTGACATCTTATCTATCACAGCTTAAGTAGTGATACTCCTATCATCGGCCAGGGAGATTTTAACATCTGTGGCCATGGTATCACACTTAGCAGTTTTATCATCAGCTAAAATGAGATAAGTTGTTTGTTTTCTCCTTTCGATATCTTTCATTAATGCAAAGCGATCGGATATACATGAAATTTCTGAATCAGGACCAATCAACGCAAGGATTTTATTTCTATTATTCTATTGCGATATACAGGAATAATTACACGCTCATCTAAAAAGTCGTTGTATTGTCTGTTTAAAGACTGTACCTGGTAGTACCGTCACTCCAGCGTAATGTTGGGCTTTCGGTCACAAGACTTAGTGTGAAAACCATTCGTCTTCTCACACTTGTCACACTTAGTAAGAAAGTGTGTACAGGTGGATACATGTCTACCATTCCAATAACCGTTATGGGTTAACTGGTACATGTCATATCCACACTGGGCGTCGGCACATTTCTCAATCTCCTTAAATATAATTTCCATGTCCTTCTCTCCTGCGCGTGCCCGTTTATTGGATCGCGTAGATAAATTGGATTCGCGAGCACGTGTATGTTGGGGTCTCTTATTTGAGGACTGCCTGGATACGTACCTGTGATCGGTGAGCTCCCGCGGCTTCTTAACAGCCGCTATTCCCTTCGATGTTACTCGATGTGCGGGAAAAATAGTTGATACAGTATTATAAAACTGTTTCCATGTAAGTCGGGATAGATGAAACTTTGTTTCATGTCCCTTGTCTCGAGCCTCAGTCACGTGTTTACGTCGCAACTCGGTGTACAGACTCTCACGGTCGTTATTCCCTATGTTCTTACCGAACACGTGCGTAACCAGGAATTCGTACCATCGCTGTGCCTTGTCCTTTATCATATCAGGACGTTTCAAGTCAGCGTCTAATTTCAGAATATAACTCTGAATGGGCGTGTTCTCAGCTGGTTCATTTAAAATTGTACTCAGCCCAGGGCTACGCATATCCTTACTTAACAAGGATGTGGCCAACCAACACACAGCTGGCCAGTCACGACAAGTGTCTAGCTCATGCTAGTGTTGCTGCAGGATCAAATAACTGGTACCTTTAGGGTGAAATGTCTGTGTTAAGGCAGAGATCCATTGCTGGGGAGCGATATCATTCATCTCCAGCATTAAGGTACAAGATAGCGTGTCGAGGTCATGGTTGTTTATAAACTCGACCTGCTTGCTGTTGGCATCCCAGTTCGACTTAAGTCGACTGATCTCTCCCGTCCACGTTGGGCCTGAAGTAATTGATCTATGCACTTTTGCTTAATCGCAATAATATTCGCATAGTATGCTACATCATCAGCATTGTCGGTTGCTTTTGCAGCAGTATTTGCTGCGGTAGCGCTAGCAACTTCTCTTTCCATCTTCTTCTTTTCAGCACTACGCTTCTTAGAAAGAGTGTTGTCTTTCTTGGCCATAATCTTAACTTATGACTACTAGCTTGTCTCTTAACGGCTAGCTTAGACAAGAGAAAAAAAATGTTGTGGTAATTAACTTACCTTTACTCTTAAGTAGTCTAAGTAATTAATACTATTGCTAACTTTAAAATGTGTAAGATTCGGTCTAATAAAGGCGATACTAATGCCTTAAAATAAATAAACCCGTAGGTAAATTCTAAATATCGTGTAAATATTGATATAAATAAACGAAAAGAGGCATTTAATAAAGTTGGGTTTGCCTGGTGAAAACAGCAATACTCTGTGGTATTGTGAGGCTGAGACATTGCCTATATATAATCCTCTCAGTACTGTTTCCGCCGAAGGGATTTTATTTAGTGTTTCGTTGTCGCTGTATTCTGGGGCGAATCTGAGAGACTCATAAAATCCTATCTTTAGAAAAAAGAAATAAAAAAGAAGAAAAAATACTCTTGACGTCCTTAGTTATTGTCGTAACCAATAACTTGCCACTATCAAGAATTACCGACTTAGCCTTCATCAGACTGGCATATCTGGTTGGCTTATCGTAGGATCAACTAGGTAACGCTAATAGTCCCTAGAAACCTATATTCGGTTTGTGCGTACAAAAATGTCTCTATAGTCTTAAGAACGTACCTTGAGCAATTGATTTCGTGGACCGGTCTGGACTTTGAGTGCAGGGGTGCGTATAATTGGCATCTTCTGATTGGCTCGATTAACAGCGAACATATTGTTGTGAAACTTCATTTACAAAATGTGTGATACATTTAATTTGATTTCATTGGAATAATTTTAACTGAAGGCCACTAGAAAAGAGTTTTAATCTTCGATATCGTCAGTTGAGAAAATGAAATGTCGGTGTCAGAAAAAATATTTAACACGTCTTGACCAATGGAAATACATGATTTAATCTGGTTAATTGTCGACCTAGGCCTTAGCACGGGCTGCAACTTTTTCAAAATACCTGGAGGCTACAATATTTATGGCCTTGGGCCCCGCAGTTCACCGCATTAGCGAGCGCAAACCCGAATTTGACAGGGGATATTAACTGTTTTGTTTTTGTTTTTTTTTAAACTGTGATACATAGTTCCACACGCCTGTACTTTTAGATTTTTTTTTATGATATTTCATTTAAAGTATCACCTTTGTTATATATTTATTTGTTTAAAAAATACAGAAGTAAAATTGAAACTTTGGGAGTAGATATATTTAGCAAATTTTCAAGCATACAACAAGGGACAGTAAATACAGGATATTTATTGTATGTACTATTCAAATATGCTTTTGGACTAATATTTTTTTTGGCAATAGAAGTTTTCAATTCTTCTTATAGTTGCTGGTATCAGCCGATTCAGAAAACCCCAAGCTACAACTTGCGCAAAAAGCAAATCCCGATTATGATCAATATCTCTTAGATATTTGGATCGAAGGTTAGTACAATATCCTGTAAATTATTTTTTTCAAACATATCTGTCCACTGGAGATTGGGGTCCGAAATTCCGAATTGCCTTTCGATCGCAAGTCCGACTGTAAATGATAACTCTTTTTATTTTTATAAAATTGGCTATTTACACAGAGAGTGATGACTGATGACAGTGATGACTGATGAGAGAGAGAGAGAGCGTGAAAGAATTTGTTTTTTTAAATGAAAAACTCATAATATTTTTGTTTTTTGTTTTTTTTAAATAAACTAGTAATTTGGCACTATCTATTTTTAGATTCGCGCCAATTCATGCGATCCAAAAAGCCAATTTACACAGCCTTATTATAAGAAACACAATTTGTTCTTTTTTAAAATTTGTTTGTGGTTTCCAAAAAGTCAAAACAAATGAAAAGAAAACTAAGGCAAAAGTTTTGTTTTTTTTCAAAAACAAAGTTGCGAGGCGACGACTCTTCGAGCACTTGAGATCTAAAGAAAGGAATTTAAAAGTATTATTTGCGCCTTTACCTGAAAATAGCGGGCGTCGGCTGTCAGTCCGGATGATTGTGCGTAATAAGCTGAAGTGAGTCAGACTTTGCCATATTCGAAAGAATGAAATCATAGCCTTATGGAAATTGAATACAGAAGGCTATGATGAAAGGAAGGGTTTTCCTCTTGTGCAGAAAGAAAAGGCTGGATCATCGTATCGGACGCCTCATTTTGTGTTCAGATTGATTGATTTTGCTGTGAAGTATCCCAATACAATGAGTCTGAAGACGATAGCAAATAATACGACCACTGCGTTACTCACTCTATCTGTACTAGTATTCTGTTGGGTACTATACAACTATGGAATGGAATATAGAGCCGACTGCCCACAAAGGGACCTCACTGTAGATATACAACCCAATACGGACACACACGTCAATACGTTGCGACTTGCCCTTAGCCGAAAAGAATTAAGGTTAAACAATATATTGAAAGAACTTCGAGAGGCAAATGAAAAACTGGCAGCTGCAAAACTAGCTAATGCAAAGTTCGAGGATCAAATACAGGCTCAGAGTGAACTGATTCAATTTCAAAGTTCTATTGTGCCTGATGAATTGGCGATGCTGCATACGATTCCGCGGTTGCCTTTCCCGGAACCGAGATCTGATACTGCAAGATTGGTATCTAAAGAACTCATAAATAATTTGAAAGTGGGTAAATCACCAGCAAACGAGATACCATCATGGATTTCCAAGTTCTGCCCGGAAGTAATTGAGCATTTCAATGCATTTCCCTTGTTTGCGAACATGCCCGAGGCTGATGAAATATCAGTCACTATTGGTCCCATGAAGGGTCACGTGGTGCCTATTCAGTCCTCCGAATACGCCATACGTACCACCTGTGAATTAAAAGTAGGTCGTCAGGTGGCAGCGCAAGTTGGTTCTCCCTACTATATTTACGCAGGCACACAGCTTGGGGGTATTCTGCACGCAGGTCCCATACCATGGGATGACGATGCTGATGTTGCCATTCCCGTAGAATATAAGAAGAGATTCGTCGATGCGTGCAATTCTTTCACTATTCCTGACACAACTTTGGACGAGGCTGTAGTCAAATGTGTTGAAACAGGGTTTGGGGTGAAACTAATGGTTGTCGACAGAAAGAGTCAAGTGCATGCAAAGTACGGCTGGAGTTCGCCTTTCGTTGATGTGTTCTTAATGGATGAAGTAAACGGTACTGTCCGTGAACTACACGCTAATGCCACGCATGGACGGGAAATGGATGTGGATCATGAAACATTGAGCGTAAGGGAGGACGGCTTAGCAGCATTCAAGGTGTATCCATCACATGAGTTTTACCCAGTACGACCGTATTATTACGGAGGACTCGTTCTGCAGGGTCCATCAATCAGCCTCGCAACGAATCGCTATAATCTGAGGGTATGCAGAATGGGCGTATGGAATCACCACTTTGAGATAAGTGCAGCGAGTGGCATCGACGGGCAATTGCTAGATTGCGAGTTCATGGCTCAGTATTTGCCCTTTGTTCAGCACACAGTATCCGAGGTGGATGGAGATATAGCATACAGCAGGCTAAGTATTAATGGAACAGATGGACTAATTCACTACTATAACGCTCGCACGAACCAGTTAGGAGTGGTTGGCCGAGATGGTCATACTACCCGGATTGCGTAGGGGTTGCGAGCACTCCAGAACAGGCTCGGCGCCAGTATTTATTATTTTTATATATAGAGCTATGATGAATTGATGAAAAATATATAAATATGAAATTCACTATATTTTTACAATATTTTTTGTTTTGTTTTATTTGTCTAGTATTTTGTTTTTGTTTTTAAAAAAAACAACAACAAAAAGCAATTCAGTTTATTTTTTTGTAAAATGATACTTTTCAATATTTACCATACCCACCGGGCAAACAACTGCCGTTCGATTGGACAGATTCCTAATAGCGCATATAATTTCTGCACGCAACATATTTCTGAAAAGTAGGTTTGATGTAGTAGCCTAGTAGGCTATGATATATTATTTCATACATGACGCATCTCTCACTTTAGGAGGCTATTTACATTTGAAGTACTAAGCAGTCCGAAGCTTTGTATCTGGACAGTTTATACATATAAATATATCCGGTCCTTTAGGGGCGAATACAACGCTACGAATGCTTATCTCGTGATTAGTTATTGATCATACGGATGTCCAGCTCGAAAGTTGTGCTAAAAGATGAGGGAGCGGCTATTCTAAGTGAGTACAAAACTCTAGTGCAACAGTTGGTCAGCTCCTTGTTGTCGATCTCTGAGGCGCCTGCAGCGAAAGCAGAGTCAAACTCGGTATTCTATATTGCAACAGATTTCATTGTTAGTGGTTTTATAATGTGGAATGTGTACAGTCTTTTTGAATTGTCGAGCTTATCTGTGTAAATATGTCTGGTCAAGCTCGGGTTTTCAAATATTCATTACAATCCTTGATATGTAAACACACATGTAGTCACACAAGCATACTTAACCGTCCATGAAAATATCATGCGGATATGTGGTATTTCAAACAGAACAAGTATAACTGTAGACGTATTTTCCCTTCCGGGTCACAAATGCTATTTGTACACGAATGTATACGTGAGCACGAATATATCAACAACTACGTTTGAAACACAGATAGGCTTCACTCTTTGGAACGCTTCCTAACGTAATTACATATTGATTTACACTTCAATACACATCGAAATACTGCAATTGTGTAAACATTGTCCCACAA